TTACATATTATTAAACTATTATTATTATTATTATTATAAATATGTACACACATTCCTGTAATATCTTTCACGACTGTCGAGGTTCATTCGATCAAATGGAAATTAACATGAATCAGTCATGATAAATGACCATTCTGATTCAATTAATAATTCAATTAATACTGCCACTCAGTTTGCTCAGTACAAAATTAACTAACACATAGTATTAATGAACAGATTATCTTCAATATACAGCATTAATCAACTGATAATATATATATATATAAAAAAAGAGGAGTTAAAGTAGTAAAATTTTTTACATATTGCACTGATGAATTAATCTAATTTCACTCTGATATCATCGACCACTTGCGATCCACATTCCGAATCGAAAGGGCTTTAACATTTTTCCATTTTTAATAGGTAATGAGGACTTGGTATTTATTTTAATTATAAAAGTGGAGGTGCTTAAAATTTTAAACATAAATAACTACTACTGTAACAAGAACAATAACAATATTTTGCCTTTCAGTTAATTTAAAATGTATGTATACTATCACAACCAGCCTCGGTTTTTACTTTGCAGTTTAGGGTGGGATTGTATCCTATGTATATAATAATAATATAAAATTATGAGACACGGGAAAAATATATTACAACATTCGACAAAAAAAATAAAAGCGTAGCAACTAAACTCCAATTTTATAATTAAATCGTATAAATAAAATCTTGGTAAATATTTTAATCATTTTGTAACGAGCTTTTAAAATATACATCATCATCTTTCCTAAATGCCAATTTTCCTAATTTTTCAACGACTACAACTGGACTTCGATCGACTGCTAAATAAGTTTTCCTTTCTGATTTTAATTTATTCAAATATCTCTTCTACTGTAGATATTTGAATAATTTAAGAAATTTCCCACTCATTCGATTGCTGGCTACACGTTGTTACCAAGTTTTTAATTAGCAGAATGTGCTTTCAGATTATAAGATTTTTTTAAACATTTAATACAAAAAGTTAAATAGTACATTTCGTGTAGGTATTACAAGATACAGCAGTACCTGTGATTTTAAACTAAAATAGCCATGCAGCCGTACTTGTCTGGTGTATATGTATGTATGTTCGTATATTGCATGCTAGTTATTACCAAACGACGTCGATTATTTTATGAACAATATAAAAGTACGAAACGTTGGCAGTTTTCACCCGATTTTTTTGGCAGTGTTACTAGAGCAATTTCTCGTGAAAATTTGTGCCTGGCTTTGTATATTATTAATAATTACTTTATATTTATCGTATACAGTGCGCTCCCAAACCGTTTGATATTTTTATTATAATTTCTCGGAAAAAATCTCACAAAATGATAATATACGTATCAAGGATTTGTCCATCTAGACGTACTACTCTACTTTGTTTATATGTGGAACACACTGTATAACTTTGTGAAACAGTACGGACAGACATAATAAAAAGAAATATCGATCGTCAAAATAAAAAAGAGTAGAACAACCCTTATATTCCCCCTTGATTCGAATAAGTTGGCGTTCAGTCAATCGGTCATCAGTCAATTAATCGGAATTCACACCATTTCAAAAGGCACTGTAACATATTTAACGTTCCTTTCAGAAATATTATTTTTACATCGATAGGGGTACAAACAAACGGGTTGTTCCTTACGAGATCTCGTTTCAAAAATTTCTTTGTGTTAATTATATAAAAAATCGCTACAATCTAAGTTAACATTAAAATGAGTAAAGAAAACGTTCGAACAAAAATAATTCTTAACACATAACACGACGACAAATGCAGTGTGGGACGTAAAAATGGGAACATTAATTTACATTCATGCACACAACGTGGTTTCTCGGAAAGGGAATAATCTCGTTCGGATGGTATTTATTATTTCTTTTATATTAATTATTCTTAATAATTATTTTTTAACGATGTACGAACTAGCTGCATGGCTACAACGTCCGTGTGAAACAGCGAAAGGAGATGACGAAATGTGAAAAGAGACAGAGCCACTGTTGGCAGTGAGTTTTTTCTTTTTTCTTTCTTGTTATTTTATTATATTTTTCGTTTGTTAGAAGGGCCACCAACCATTACAAAAATACCATTTTTAATGCACTTTCTTAAATTTTAGTGAATCCTGAAACTTTGTACCATGTTCTTTGTGATTTGTACATTCGTTTGCATACTACAACAGCTCGTTTGTCTGACTTTTTTTTATCCACCTATATATTCATTGTCTGCAACGTCTATAGCAACGATTAAAAAATCGAAATCGCATCTGAGCTTACACAATATTTATGTTGTGCATTATAAAACGTAACGAGATCAACGATTCTTTTTTTTACATGATTTAGTTTTTAATTTACACAAAACAAAACAGGCATTTTAAGACGTTATTTGCAATATGTATCACAAATCACATGTGCACATCCTTAATTAAAAAAATTATGCTTTAATTAATTAGATTTTTTTTCTACCAAACTTCTTACTGCTAGCAAAAAACTTTTACTCTCTAGATATGAAATATTCACTATTTAGACGTTTGTAGTAAAAATGTTACTTATTATAAACAAATTCATGACGTTTTAAGCCTTTCAACATAGTGTATATTATCAAAATATTTATTAACATTACTGTTTCATGCAAAACAGTTCCTATTTTAAATTAATTTTTGAATAAAATCACGTCTTCAACTGCGCTTTGAAAACCTTAATTATCGTACAATTTAAAATTATGAGTTTTTTATCAGTTTTTGCTGAACCGAAAAATTTATATTGTGCAAAGTATAGTATGCATGATAATTTGTAATATTTTGAAAAAGATTTAAAGAAGGATCATATTATAATAATATACAAAGTTGAATTACGAAGTCGAAATTTGTTGATTACTATACAGAAAGATACCTTTTTACCGTTTTAATTTTTTTTAGTAAGAAAGTGCACATTTAAATTAATTATAACAGCAGCAACTTGTTTTGCTTTAACACAGACTGTTTACGGATAAGGTAGACCCCTCGCGAAAAAGGAAACGTTTTTGCTCTTATAAGCTAAGGCATTGAAAGGGCGCGCGCGCGAAAAATCGTCAATTATCCAAAAACACAAAAATACACATCTGTCTCTTCGTTTAGTTTTTCATTTTTTTTTTATGAAAATATGTTTTATTTACAATGAATGACTATGAAAATATGATTCTTTATATGTATGTATGTAATGTATGTATGTATTTATTAATGTTGCGTTACCTCTACAGTGAGTACATATGAACGACTTTTATCTAGGAGCAAAAGTTTACTTGGGAGGATTATACAGTATCAAAACAGAAGCTACAATGTACACACCAAGAGTTCGTTTTGTTTCTCTCTTTTTTTACTTTTGTTTGGTTTTCCTTTTCGCATTTACAAAGTGTTCATCGTTCATTTTTTTTTTGTTTTTCTTCAAAGGCAGGACAGTATTTAGTGCAAATTACAACAAATGCCCTTTTATTACTTAAATAGTTCATCGTTTATCGTCACACTGCGGTATTCGCAAACCTTTTCTGCTCTTGTTTTCTGTCTGTCAAGGACGGTTGCTTTGTTATCAGTTTTTTTTTTAATAATGCGCATCGTGTTTCCTTCTCCGAATACGGAATATATAAAGGCCGGTTGCTTTTACAATGATTCTTTAATTTTTTTCACTGCAGCTTAAATTAGCATCTGTATTTTTTCTTTCCGTTTTGCTTTATATATTCCAAATTACACAACTTGTAGTACGACATTCACTAACAAAACCTTGCAAGACTATTGCTTTTTTTTAATCGCTACTAAAATGTTTTGCTGAATATTTCTGTGATGTTTAAAATTACTCTATAAATATATGGGGATATTAAAGAATATAAATAAAAAATACAATAGTAGACTGTAGCTAAAAGGGTTGGAGTTCAAATTTCACACATCTCTTCCCAATTGGAGTCTTAAATAAAATGAAATCCAAAAAAAAAAAAGAATTAGTCCTGTACAGCAATGTTGACTGAGCGGAAAGAATCGACGAGTAACGAGGCTGGCCGAATGAAGCGTCGGTCCACGCAAAAGCATCATCCCATCTTACAACGCTTCAGTCAGTTTACTCATTTAGCGTACTGAAAGATGTTTCATATCAAAAAGAAAGAAAATGATACATAGGTAAAAATTTCTCCTAGTCGTATCACACAAAACAAATACTTCACGAATAAAAGAAACGGCTACAAAATACAGATGTATAAAAAATTATCCCAAACAAGGTTTTATGCACGTCGTATGACGTTCAATTTTGTAAAAAGTGCAAGGAGGCCCTTTCAGCTACATTACTCACGAATTATCAAATGTAAAAATCTTCGCAAGGTTTTATTTTTGACCTTATTTAACAATAATCAGAATGTCTTCCTTGTGTGCTGTGTTCGACTTTGCACCTGCCCTCAGTCAGAGAAAAATCCATGCGTCTTGAAGGCACCTCTGTATATAATTTTTTTAATCAGTCCGCGCCAGTCTTACATCTTAAGTAAGCGAGTCGCCTGGTATATATCAGTATATATATATAATATTATAAAACAATGCAGTTTTTACACTCTTAAAAAAACTACATACGTAAAGTTAGTTTTTAAGTTCGAGCACTACTATTCCTCTCGTTTATTTTCTGTTTATCCTTATTAATTAATATTTACCTAAATAAAAACTATGCTCAAGTAATAACTTTCTCTTAGATGCCGTCTCAACATTCAGATAGCAAAAAAAGTAAAATTATACAATATTTCACAGCCTGCGATTCGGTGGTTGACTTCACAAATGCTTCATCTTCTCTGTTTACGATATTTTACAGCCATTATTTTCCTCATATCTTTGCTATTTATTATTTTGCGAAAATGGTAAAAAAATCCGCTCAATAAACCGATACCGTACAGTTCGATTTCAGTTTTCCTTCCACTAAACTAATTATTAATATTTCGCCTTTTTGTGACTTTAAAATCAATTATTTATAGTAACATCCATGGTAAATTTAGTAATTCAGAATAAATCAAACTGTACGATGATACTTAGAACGCACATGATTAGAATAACAGACCTTATTTGATTTTTTTTTGTCGGGCTATATTCTCCGCCCCCGTTATAAATACCAAAAAGCATTTGCTGGTCAATTACCACCTGTCCGTTATTCCCGGGCAATCTCTCGTGCACTTGGTGTAAATACGTCTACTACGTCTTCAAGTCAATGTCCCATATTTCTGCAAGGAATGGTGGAAGCTTTTTGTTCTTCAGCTTCAACGAGAAGCACATCTCCGAGTTCTGTTTCCCGAGATTGCGCAGTTCTGTCAGCACGGAGAGGAGCTTCGCGAATATTATCCCCGCCCGAGGTTTCCGCCTGTTATCCACATATGCCCTTAGAGCTTCGAGGTAAATTTCTTGGATCTTCTCAACCTTCCAACCCTCTATCAACGAAGGTCTCTCTGCAAAACAAATTAAACAAATTAGATATATTCAAAAGATAAACAAAGACGACGTTACGTAATTAAAGGGGGAAAGAAGTAATCAGTACAAAAGTGGAATAAAGGAATAATTTGAAGAAAAAAAATGTAAGAACTATGTTAAAATAGAGGGAAGAAATCATCGAATAGATTTTTTTTATTAAGATATTGGAAAAACTATGGAAGGCACTAAGAAAAGGGAGACGTAATAGTGGGACATAAAAGGCTAGTTAGAGACATCCTTGGAGCAAAAACAGCAGTAAAAGGGTGCAAAGGAAAACCTAGATTAGACTACTAAGTTACCTGAAAATATGACGATGGCTGTGAGCAAGGCGTACTCGGCATTGTCGACTTTCATCGAGTACATGGTCCTGCAGAAACGGAGAAGATCGTCAATGGTTTCGCTCATTCCGGCGAGATTATAACTATCTCGAGTATATGGCTGGTTATTTACAAAAAGAATTGAATCCGTATGAACGTCGTACCGTCGCGCCATTCTAAACATCATCACTTCACTCGAACATGCCTGCAAAACACGGAAAGTGAAAAAAAGAAAAAGCTGTTGATTTTATTTTTAATACCTTTAAGAGAGCAATTTGATCTTCTCGAAGGAGCTTATCGAAGCCTGGTAACCTTTTCGCAAATTCGACTATAAGTTGGACCGTTAAAATGGTTATTTCGGTTATGTGGCGATACGGCATATCACAAGGATCATCTCCGTCAACAGGTTGATTCTAAAAAAAATAATATAATAATTGAGGAGAATTAATTAATGATTTTAGGCTTTCACGATGATCAGTCCTATTATTAATCTTTTATGTGACGTTTCGTATGAGAACATTTTGTACTTACAATTATCCTTTTGACATCTTCCTCGGAGGGGTGTTCGTACTCATTTTGAAAGTAAACAAGTCGATGTATTAGCTCTTCTTGTTCAGGCGAAATTTTCCTCTCACCTCCAGATCGGAAGGGGTTTTCAGGATCACACTGTAAGCAAACCGAAGATAATGTAATGTAAAGTATATCGCCTTCTAGTGATGTTTGTCGCTAACAATACTATTCATATATTTGACAAGGGCCTTACGAAGGTATCTACTCGACTAACTAAATCTAGTTCTCATCGGCACGCCACAGGCAGTTGCCATAAATCGCCGACCGAACCAAAATCACTCCATGAAAGGAAAAAGATGCAAGCGATTTGGTGAGTGACTTATCCACGTTACCCATGGCGTTATGATGAGAACTAATAAGTACGAAATCGCGATACACGTCTGATAAATTACATCACTGACCAAAAATTTAATGTTCTTTCTTAACATACCTAATTTAAATACAGAGTAATAGTAAAATATTAGGACAGTACTTCATACCTCGGGTTCGGTTTTGACAATGTCTGGAGATCCGTTCGTGGTACTGTTGGGAGTGTCCTTGGCTTTCTGTGCTTTTTTCTCTTTCCTCTTAACGGCACATTGTACCTCGGGCACCACACACTCAGGTCGCATCCCCACACTCAGGCACTTTTTCAATCTACACTCTTGACATTTCCGCCTCATATACATATCTATTTCACAATTGTTGCCATACTTGCACTGATACACCGCATTCTTCGTTATACTTCGCCTAAAGAAACCTGGAAGTCAAAACAAACACAAATCCAGTATGTCAAATTTGATTACAAAATGAACTCATTAAAAATTAATGCATTTAAGTACTGTTTTTAATCAAAATTATGATGATCTAACGATACGTAATAGGTTTTTATCAATATATCAATTATCAATCTGAATTGTGGAGTCAGGAACTTACTTCCAAACTTACTTTAATGTATTACGTGTGTACAAAGCCAAACAAGTTCATTTGCTCTTTATATTAAACGATTGTTAACTTATACCTTTACAGCCTTCACAAGTAAGTGCATTATAATGGTAACCCGACGCTCTGTCTCCACAGACCAGACAGAGCTCTTCTTGCTGCCTTGGGGTAGGACCTTTTTTCTTTTTGCTATCGCAACTATCTGCGCTGAAGCCATTCAAACTGTTTGGAGGAGACAGATCTTCACGACCTACAAAAGAAAAAATACATTGTAGAAAAGTCGTAAACACTTCTTTTACAATAACGAAGACCCTCTTTGTAATAAAATTAATGAAAACATTAAAAGAGCGAGATATATAAGCTTCTATTTCGAATTTTTTTTAATGATGGAGTGAAATACACTATAACGCCTAATGCTAAATGTATAGTACCTAACTTTCAATACGTCGTAAGTAACTTTTTCACAATCATTAACTTTCCTGCTTAATGAGTCCAGTAAACTGTATAAATCGGCATAGAAAAATCGATAGCTGTCACACGTTATTGGCAAGCGGAAATGTAAACCTAATTATTATACAACAATACACATGAATACATTTTATTATTATGTGTTTCTTTATATCAAGTTGCCGATGGAATTTTTAATTCGAAATCGGCAAATGGAATTTGAAAAGCGAAATAATTAAATTCGCGACACGCGCATGAAAATAACAATGTTGATTGCAAACACGTGTTAACGCTTTTTTGTATTATTGTTTAAAACAAAAGACACTTCACCACTTCAAATGAAAGACATTCATTCATCGTATCACGCCTCTCTCTCGTTATCTTTCTTCTCCTATTGGAAACTTTTAAACGGAGAATTTTCACTGCAATTAAAGTATTTTTATTGAGAAAAGTTGTAAAAAATCAAGGGGGTATTTCCTGCACACGAAATACTTCAGCAAAAGCAAATACCCACTAGATGGCATTACACTGTCTGTACTTACATATTATACGTATGTACTGGCGACTCGCAAAAAGAATTAAATTTCATATTACATACACGTTAATTAGGATTTCTTTAAAAATAAAAATTTACATTAAATGAATACACATCAAGTATGCATAATATTTGAATAATCCGTCCAACGAATGCACGGTACCATTGACGATGATGCATACCAGCATATGTACCATGTTAACCATGGCATTTTTCCATACCGTAAAATTAGAGATGTGCAAAATGGTTTTTTAAAAGTATTTAAATACAAATGAAAAATACAAACTAGATTTCCCTCTTACATTAAATGCTAAATAAAAAATGCGTATTTTTTAAATAAATACTTTTTGTAGTATGTACCTATTTAATTAAGTATAAAATAGTTTTTAAGAAAACCTTCCAGCCATTTGCTCATTTTTTAAAGATTGAGTATGATTTATATTTTTCTCTTTGAACTGATTGAGATATAGTTTTAGTTTCTTCAGTTCAGCAACAAATAATTATTCTGTATTCTTCCTTATTTGCCTTTGTCACCCGTTTTAACTGAAAAAAAGACACTGATGCCAAAATAGTTTGTTTAGCGTGAAAGATCAGAGCCAAAATAGGGTTGGAAATAATTTTATTAATGTAAAATCAACATCAACAATTTTATACTTATCAAAATACCTAAACTCCATTTTGTTTCCGATCTTTTACATATTATAATAAGAGAAAGAAATGGAATTCATAGTTTTTTAGCTTTGGGTTCATCCAATAAGTGAAGTTTTTCGAATCGTTTTCTAAGAATTTTGGATTATACGCATTTATTAGCACACCACAATACCTTGTAGTTTTCAGTTTTAGACAACTGGCATATATAAATTCGATATGGTTTTGCGGGCTGTTTTGTCGTAATTCATAGAATTTCGTAGTTCCTTGCTAAAAGTAGGATAAGTGGTGATTTTGAAAGTGCTTATCAATTCGGAACTTCAAAATTCCACGGACCATGACTCTGAACCCGGAAAACAATATCGATCCAATATTTTAGATTATCCATTTTTCCAAGTTTATAATTTTTTGGGCTCTCTTCAGTTAAAGAATTAGAAGGCATTTATAGAATGTCTCTTTGTCCCCTTTTTATGCTTCTTTCATTCATCATTTTATATAGCTTGATCGATGATACCAGCAAAAATATTAACGACAAAAGTTCATTTTGCATTTTATAAAGAGACAATACGTTTGAAAAAATACTATAAATAAAATACAAAATGCTTTTCTCAAAAAAGATAAAAATAGGTATTTTTTTATTTTGTATTTGCATTTTAAATACATGTATTTCAAATAAATCACATCTCTGCCTAAAATAATAATTTTAATCGTCAGCCTATTCCACAACATTTAGATCATCCAGTATCCCAGGCACACAAAATTCCTATACAAGACTACCTAGGACTTGAATCTTCGAACCATCGATTGAATACAGTGATACCACATACATATTTACATACATCTAAATTGTCACCTTGTAGATCTTCAAGAAACAAAATTTGCTCAACTGGCAAATATCATTCTAATCTAGTTGTATCCTTGTCTAGTTTCCCTTTCATCCATATTCGGTTCAAGTTATTAATGCAATATGTGAATGAGGAAAAGCTATTCGTGTACGTGTTCATCCATACAAACATATAAAAATAGATGTAAACCGGAAATGATGTAACGCAATGCGGTTTTTAACCTTGATAAAGGACAAGTCTATTTTACGACAAGTCATAAATGAGAGGATACATTATACTTGGGTTTGAACAAGTATATGTACGTAAGCACACAAGATCTCGAGAGTTTTAAGGTCAAACTTGAAAAAAAAGCGCGCTTTAAGTCCCAGGCTCTTTCTGCCTATGTATTGTACGTTATACATAATGTATACCATAAAAACGTGTGGATTATATATAAAGTATTTATTTAAGACGTGTAAATAAGCGGTCGATTTTGCTATTTACTCGTCCGATTTTGTCTATTATGTACCTACTGTACCACGACATTAACATCAACGTAATTGTACATGACTATTAAACAGATGCTTGCTTCGCCACAAGGTCAATAGTGTAATGAATTGTAAGGCACGTTTTTACTTTTAATAAAATTAACAATAGGTACCTAATAACAATAGTTTTCTTTCGCCTTCCTTACTGCATATTTGCGAAACATTAAAACATAAAGTTTTCCAATTTCCACTACACAGAATTATACAACAAAACAAACTGGAGATAATTCTGAGACTAAATCTATTTTCACTTATAACAGAAACGTTCGAAATGTGGTGTTATAGGCGAATGATGAGGATATTGTGGATAGAGTATGTTAGAAATGAAGAGGTATTAGAAGGAATAAGAGAACAGAGGACTCTGTGGAAGTCAATAAGAAATAGACGAGATAGGTTGGTAGGACACCTTCTCAAGCATGAAGGTCTAGTCAGAAACATAATAGAGGCAGAAACAGGAGTTAAGAGGAATAGAGGTAGATCTAGATTAGATGACTGTTAAGAATGTGGGATGTTCTGGTGTTAGGGAAATGCGTAATTAGCTAAGGATAGGAAAAATTTGAAGTAGGTGTCTAACCAGTCTTAGAACTGACGACCTTATGATGATGATGTTGATCAAAAATAAATTTTTAGTTGTTCTTAAGTTCTGTTGTCTATAATAATTCCCTTGCCACTAAAAGCAACAGGCATAGAAATCCGCAAACTCCTTACTTACCTAATAAATATCAAATGTTTTAGTTTCAATTATGTTTTTTTATGGTGCACATTTTTCTAGACATCGCACGTGATAATCAAAAATTTGTTGATTTAATCCTGTAAGCGGCCTTAAGTAACATATACTCTCGAAGAGCATTCTGAACAGAATAGCAAATAGATATCTTAAACTACGTAAATCAAGAACGTAGCATCACAGGGCGTGGACAATATTGAGATATAAAGTATCGTCAGGAAGATGGTTAAGCGTTGCTTTAAGACATCCTAATCTCTTAATCAACAGATACACAACAAATAAAACAAACGATCACTTACTTAAACAAAAGCCAACACGATCACAGAGATGATCCCCAGCTATATCACTGCCAATATCACCTTACGGCACCTTTATCAAATATAGAAAAACATGTGTGAGCACTCAAGCATACCTTTCCTTAGCATTTATCGTGCATCTTACTGTACAAGGCCATGTTGCAATATAATCAACTAAAGATAAATACATTGACCGCAGCCAANAAGTATTTTATTTTTTGTTTTTAAAAATATATTTTTTGTTACACCTATTAGCCAGTAACAAATTGCCGTTGCTCTTAAATACATTAATAGCCTCCAAATATGGCAAACAAAGATTTAAGTAAACTAAAAGTACATTTTTAATTAGTTTTAATGAAGCTTTATTCCTGTCTTCCCGTCACTTTGCGTTCATAACAGAGAATACTCTTTCTGGAAATGCTGAAGTGGCCGGAACGGACAGCAAAAGTGACACTACTTTGAACAGATTCGGGAAATCAGGTTGTTCCGTAAATATGGCTTGCCATTATTCTGCGCAATATTATTGATGTAAAAATACTCTGAATTTCGAATAATCGCTTAGAAAATTACGATGTTTACTTAAGTCCTTAAATAAAGTATTTTTGCGTACTTTATGTGTCTTGTAAGCTATAACGTACGCACAGTCGAAATAGAGTACAATACTTTATAATAAAGTACGGGTGGCAACCCTA